ATGTGAGTTCTGAATTTAAAGACGCTTCATTATTAAAGACGCTTTCAGTAATGTAGGCCAAAAAAATATTTTTAATAAAAACAATTTGCATTTGATTTAGGCCTTTAAAGCTCTTAAATACGAATTGTTGTATCAAATAAAAAACGATATTTTAAGGTGGATTCGCAGGTGAAGGGAATTTTTTTCTGGAAAGTCCGGCGTTACACTTGGCAATTTGTACCTACTCTGAATATATTTCGAATTTAATGTTATTACAACCGTTAGAATGCTGCATTTATCTTCTCTGAGCGTAAATCAACAAACTTTGATTTTTATGTTAAAATTGAGCAAATAATTTTGAAATCAATCACAACCCCTCAAACCGTTCTTTTATACACTTAATTCTTATTTATTCACGGACGCCAAGTTGATGCCATTTTGTGAACTTTAAAGTTCTCAGAGCCCCTGTAATATTTCATGTGGATTAGTTGGCACATTTTAAAATTAACACAATTAAAAAACAAAAAAATCGCTCGCATTTGAATGCGAACATTGCGAAAAAATATGTGTTTAGTTCTCCTAAAGATTTGTACTAAGTTGTTTTTTGGGGAGTAAAAAATAAATTCTAATTTTGATTCATTATCAAAAATATTTTACCCTATTTTGCTACGTAGCTCAGTCATTACGTCAAAATTGTATTTGCCAGTTTGCCAAAATATGGATATCGTGGATGTTTAAATTATTATTGGACCACAAGTATGATAGTTTTTGATCTTGTATCATAAAAAATATGTAATAATATCAGTGATCTCACGTCCGAAGCCTTCTCTTGAGATTATAACACTCTTATGAATCAATAAGACATTATTTTCCAATTCAACCATTTTGGAAGGAATCAATAGTTTAGAACTTAAATATTCATAGTCTGAAATTCGTGGAGGGCTCCTAGTGCAAGAATCTGACTGATTTCCTTATATCATCCTATAAAAAGTGCTTAAAATTACTGTAGACAATAATTGCATTATGATTAGCCTTACATATAGAAACAAGAAAATCTATTTGTATACGTTATGTAAACATATGTTATGTATAATCAATTTGAAATTTTTAATTCGCCGTGTTCATCTTATTTGTGTTAAGATAACACTACACGTTTCCTTAAAAGAAAAATTGCTATTATTTCCATACGATTATTGATTATGTGGGTATTGGATTCGTCAATTATATATACGATAGATATTATTAGTATATGACAATTAATTAAGGTTTTTAGTTGAAATGAAAAAAAGTTAATAGCACGAGAGGGATTCGAACCCACGACCTTCGGCTAGATACGCCGCTGCTCTACCACCTGAGCTATCGTGACCTCGATCCACTCGGACATCAACTCCCCACCTCAACCCCGCCTTATGAGTTTTCCCTCCTTTTGCCATTATTCAAATGTCGTGTAATCGGTTTGGATACTCGACGACAATTGAAATGGGACGGAGAGCTTTAGTGAAGTGTACTTCATTTTTAAATCATTAATTCACTACTTTCGTGGTCCGCTTGACCAATTAATACATGACAATTAATTTAGGTTTTTAGTTGAGATGAAAAATGGTGGAGAAAAAAAGCAGCGGCGTATCTAGCCGAAGGTCGTGGGTTCGAATCCCTCTCCTGCCATTAACTTTTTTTCATCTCAACTAAAAACCGTAATTAATTGTCATGTATTAATTGGTCAAGCGGACCACGAAAGTAGTGAATTAATTATTAGTATATGTACGAAAAAGTTGCTTTTTTAAAAAGTTTGTAGAAATAGCTTTCTAATAACAAAACTATATATGTATATCTATATACATTGACATTAAAAAGAGACAGAGGTTTAAAACAGAAATTAACTGCTTTCTAAGGAAGCAGAGATTATAACGAGCATTTGATGGAACTAATACTGTTTTCAGAGAACGGTGAAAAGACTTCTTTTAACGAGATTTTAATACAGAAATAATTATGCCACATTCTAAAAATTTGTTTGATAATTAATTATATTTGCATAGAATGTCTTAAAAAACATCTGAATGAGGTCATCATCCTACATTTTTTTCTGCTCAATTCACCATCAATATTACATTCCATACCACATAGTCGTAGAAATATTATAATGATAATAGTTTAAATTGTTATAGGGAAATACTGTTATTAAACTATCGAATGAAATTATCAGGTTTTTAGCTTTCGTATGTCAGAATTAAATTTATATTTTTACATGTTTACTCTAGAGTGAACTAACGACAAATGGTTTTATCGTTTCATCCGAGATGATCGTTTATATAAACAGCATATTTGAAATTGTAGGTTATAGTGCTTCATTTTCCTCCTGGTCCACAGAACTTGACAAGGTTCGCGCATTTGCGGTTGAGTTAAGCCATAGTTTTGAATGAAATGTGAATTGAGCACACAATCTCATCGGGACTACCTTTTATTGTTAGCTGATTTATCCGCATCCTCCAAAACCTGTGGTAAAACTGTGCTAACATATTTAAAACACAAATTTAACCTGCTTAGGGTTCAATTTTACCATGGTATCGATTCATATAATCATGCCGCCTTGTCGTTGGCATCCGAACTAGTACAAACATTTTGAAATTATATCTCCCCTATTTCTGATGAAGCTACAGATATGAACGACATTTGTCCTGGCTGTATGTATTACAACATTTTGCCCTTTATTGGGCTTCGAACCCCTCAGGTCGAACATGAAAATTGGATCGTAGTTGAATTATAAACATCAAAGCGCTTATTTTAAATTTCCCATACCTCTGTCCGCACTCTGATCGTCGTTGGTGTTCAATGTTCAATAACTTGCACGCCAACCAAAAACTATAGACATGTGCTGTTAGACATAATAAAACTATTAGAAAGGCATTTAATAATTGTGCTAAGGTAAGGTAAATAGTACGAAGTAATAAAAAAGTACGAGGCGGCGAAAGCCGGTACGTCCCACCCTCCAGATCGGACCATCGCGATCAGGCCCCCTGACGCTAAACACGCAGTTAAAAATATGATAAAAGAAAGATGGCAGCGTCAGTGGGCGGGGTCGTCGGAGAGGCTCTTGCGAGTCAAGAGCACGACCGGTAGATGGCCCTCAGAGAATCTGAGCAGGAGACGAGGGATCGTCCTCACCCGACTGAGGATTGGCCATACTCGGTTGACACATGGGCACCTGCTTTTGGGCCAAAGCCCGCGCAGGTGCCCTTTATGCAGAGAAAGGTTGCTCGATGTGTCCCACATAATAGAGGCGTGTCATGCCTTGGCTCCATACAGAGAGCGTGTAGGCATGCCGCCGGATTTAAGAAGAGTCCTCGAGCATGGTAGCGAGTTTCAG